AGTAAGGAAAGTAGGGCCAAAAGGAATCTTTAGCTCTGCATACTCCCATGACACAGTGCAAATGTCATAAAATTTTCATAGAAAAATTATTGAAACAATTTGTTTGTTTAGTGGCGCAGTAGGTAGTGCTGTCGCCTCACAGCAAGAAGGTCGCTGGTTTGAACCTCGGCTCAGTTGGGGTTTCTGTGTGGAGTTTGCATGTTCTCCTTGCCTCCACGTGGGTTTCCTCCGGTTGCTCCGGTTTACCCCACAGTCCAAAGACATGTGGTACAGGTGAAATGGGCAGGCCAAATTGTCCGTAGTGTGTGAACGTATGTGTGGATGTTTCCCAGCGATGGGTTGCGGCTGGAAGGGCATCCGCTGTGTAAAAAAAAAAGTTGGCGGTTCATTCCGCTGTGGCGACCCCGGATTAATAAAGGGACTAAGCCGACAAGAAAATTAATGAATGAATGAATTTACTCAAAAATGAAAATGTACTCACTATTTACCCTCCCTCGAGTGGTTATAAACCTTCAACAGTCTTTTTGTCGGTTATACACGAAAGAGGACTTGAGGCAAGCTGAAAACATGTAACTATTGACATCCACAGTAGAAAAAAACAAACATGGAATTTAATGGTTACCGCTTTCCAGCTTTCTTCAAAATATTGTCTTATATTCAACAAAAGAAAGTGATGATTAGTCAATTAAATTAACTTCACTTTTGAAAGGAGACTATGCCTTTAAATTCATATCATCATGGGATTGTGGTTCTTATTAAACTGACACTTTAAATCCTCCAGCTTGGTCAAGTTTGTTAGATTTTGATTGGCTGTGTATTTTCAATCATATTTTAATAAGAAGTATTGCGGTTCTCATCTACATGTTTTAGCTATGCGTTTTTGCATATCATTGTTACAGGCCTGTATATGTTTATTACTAACAAAACAAATAACAGATATTTGGTTCTAAATTTAATAGTGAGCACTACAACTACAACAGAAATGTGAAGAATGAACAAGATCTTTAGAATCATTTTCAGAAACGAACTGCCTTCTCAAGCAGTAGACCAATAAAAACAGCCATTTCACCAGTTAAAGTGACAGCTTGCTTGTTATAAGCAAAATAATACTGTGCGTGCTGCATGGTGTGGCCACTAAAATAGATTCAGTTATAGTTATCACTATTGGTGCGACAGACTTTATAGACCATCTTTTTGTTTATTTGCTACATTAGAATTACTTTGTAAATATTGTCCTCATAATCATCAATTGACTCTTTCCCTGCTAGAACCACAGCGACAGTAAGATAACCCTCTATGAGTGTGAAGACTTCATGGGCCGTAAATTTGAGATGTGTGAGGACTACCCTTCCATTCAAGCCATGGGCTGGTGCAGCAAGGAGGTTCCCTCAATCAAAGTCAACTCTGGAGCGTAAGTCACTTCCCCAGCCTTTCTGAACACATTCTATATGCTATTATATTATAAGTAACTAAATATTAGTTTATAGTATAAGGTAAACTATTTATTGAAAGTATAAATAAATAAATAAATAAATAAATAAATAAATAAATATTATAGTTGTTTGTCTATGTGTTTGAGTAAAATGTATATATTTTTAAATTCTGTAAACTACTGATGACCCTTATTCCAAATTTAATTAAATTTTTTTATTTGCATACAATAACAAAAATGTGTTTGTGTTTATAGGTTTATATTCATTTAAAAACAACACAATATACCACTGTCTTTTAATAGTTTTAAAATAGCAAAATATATCAATATTTGGTGAAAAACCCTTTTTTTTTGGTGTAATAACCATGATTTTCAAATCACAGCGATTAAAAACATTTATTTTTATACAAATACACATATAAATACAAATACATATATAAATACAACAAATTACAACATTTTAGCTAACAACTTGGAAAAACTGTTATGTGTTTTATAGAATAACCAAATATTATCACTCTACTTAAACCCATCTATTAAAACCAGTAAACCCAGAGATCATTTAAGTGGTTTCTTAACTTTTCTTAATTTCCATTTCTTTGTGACAAAATAGTGTCCTTTACTGAATCTAGCAGCTCTGTGTTATTGGTTGTGTGGTGCAATAAATGAGCTTTGCCCTTTTCTCTGACAGCTGGGTAGGCTATCAGTTTCCCGGTTATCGTGGATATCAGTACATCTTCGAGAGAGACAGACATGAAGGAGAGTACAGATGCTACAATGACTTCGGCACCCAGGCACACACCAACCAGATCCAGTCCATGCGCAGAATTCAGCAATAAGAGAACAATATGTCATGCCGTATCAATACTATAGGCAATAAAGACATTTAAATGCTTGTGGCAGTTCCTTGCTTTTTAAATAAAACAGCTTTTCTGCTCAAATTGTGTATCTGTAAGTTGTGATTCTTGACAAATGAAACAGATCCTACGCTTTTATTTAAGCTGCATGAATAACTCGAGGAAGCCTTTGACAATTCAAGGCAAATGAAATACGCCGCTCTACTGATATTGAATATTTAGGATGTTTTACACCATCTGAAATCTGCTTAAATATTTCTTACACATTCTATTTGAGAGATGTGAGACTGAAATATTTTTAATAAACAAGAGCATGAATATGTGTTCTTTGTGAATCAGGTTCATTAATTTCAGCTACAGTAAATACACAACATATGAATCTAAAAAAATGTAATCTATTTTTCTGTATATATATATATATATATATATATATATATATATATATATATATATATATATATATATATATATATATATATATATATATACACTGTTAACAATTTTCTGCAGAATCTACAGAAACTGGCAGCAGTTCACTAGTAACTTACTGTAAATCAATTACAGTAAGTATACAGTATTTATTTATAGCACCATTTATCTAGAGGTATATGTATTTACAGTCTTGTATATTTTCACTGTGAAATATACAGAAATTACAGCAAAATACAGTTCACATTGCAGTTTAATACTATATAATTTACAAAAGTTGTTAGTGCATTGTTAGCAATGTCCTGTAGAATCTACAGTAACTTACTGTAAATCAACTACAGCAAAAATACTGTACACTAACAGCAATCTCACTGTACAGTATATGCATTTACAGTATTTTATATCCTTACTGTAAAATATCCAGTAGTTTTCACAGTGATACTTTAAAATATGGTAACATAGTGCATAACTGTCCTAAAGCAAATTACAGTTCACATTACAGTTAAATACTGTGTCATTTACAAAAATTATTTACAGTGTACTGTAATATAAGGTGTCTATTATATATAGTGGTTGATTGTATAAACACACACAAAGAAGGGCATCTGATGCAAATATGATCTTGATAAATATATAATAAAATATTTGGAATAAATATGATGCATTTATGTTTTAGAATACTGTAAATAATATACAGCAAAATTAAGAGCCAAAAGGTTTACAAATCTTGCATTGTTATTAGTTATTTTACATGTACATTCTATATATGCAAGTATCATAGTTAGGTCAGTATGGATGTATTTAAAGTGAATAAAAATATGAAGAAACAATAAAATGCACACACACATGCACACACTAATATCAAGTTGTATTCTATTAAATCGCCAATGTATTTTACAAAAAATATATATATGTTTTTATTTTGAGCATTTTTTTTATTATCGTAATAATAATAATAATAATAATGATAATAATAATAATAATAATAATATATTTAAAACATTCAAAAACTATTACTCATATATAAAAGGGGGACCTAAAAGTTCTGATTTCAGCATTTGTATTGGTCTGGAACTGTCCGAGGTCCTGACCTTTATGCATCGTAGCCTGGTGTATATTTAAACATCGCTGTAAATTAATTGCTGAAAGTTGCCGAGGTTTAACCCAAGGGACGGATTCGTTTTAATAACTAAGCGATACAGGAAGTAGGGTACCTATTTCATCCAATCTAACGGTTTGCGACTCTGCATCCGGGTGTGATTCCGCCTCTTGTTTGCGGTGTAACGCTCGGCGATCGGCAGTATTTGACTGCACACACCCAATGCTGGATCAGATGTGGACGCGGCAGTCACTGTTTGAAAACACGTTCACACACCCAGACCAGGATCTCCTAATAAACATTCACCTGTACACACCTTTACCAAACACACATTTCACTACGAGCTGATTTAAACTGCTTCTCAGTGAATATAAGACAGACAGGAGTGCTGAAAGCATCTGGAGCTCAGACATAACAGCAGCGGGTAAGTCCACTAGGCTAGGCCTATATTAAGAGACCAAATCAGGACAGAGTTCGGTAGTATACGGTTGACAGTTTATAAAGCTCTAATCAAACGTTAGAAATCCATTTTGTACAAAACTGTTAGCCATTCACAAAACATACTGTTTAACATGAAATATACAGGCTTTATGTTTTATTAATGATTTAAAGGAAAATCGTATTTAATTGGCTTGAATAAAAGTTGCACAAATAACGAAAAATAATGTATCTGATAAGCTTTTATATAACATCACAATGCTTACCGGCTACATTGGCTAAAGTTGTTTAGAATTGTAGGCCGCCTATCCCTAAAATTATATTAATGTTAAGACTGATGGCACAATTTACCATCGGGAAGAAAGGAAACGCCTAGCATTTCGTTTTGTGATGCGGATTGAGTTTTAAATGTATTGATATTATTATTATATTGACAGTGTTATTATTCCACAGTGCCTCTCCGTGTTATTCAAAAAAATTATCTCAAATTTACATTTGAACTCGAAAAGCAAAGCAAATTAAGTTCTCGCAATAAAGTCAGTTTTGACACGAATCTTTTGTACCTTTTTGTATGATTCCTAAAATTGAATGAGCATTTCACTTTTTGCAGCATGTAATCAGGCCAAATACAGCTATCTCACGTTATAAATACACTTTTTAATATTTAAATCAGGTTGATTTCAAATTTACGGCTTATATAGTGTAAAATGTACTATTCATTCTCTTTGTTGTATAGGAGTACCAGATTTGTCCACCGTGCATGTGGACAAAGTCAACCACTGTCTTGTATCCGAGGCTTGTTTTAAGTTGCCTGCGATCTCTTAATGACTCAGGCAGCTAAAGCAAGTCTGGGAGGCCAGAGACAACACGACAGAAACACACAAAGACATTCAAGGTGATGACAACGTGCGTCCTTGTCAATGGTGATGCTGAGCTGCTGTTGGGATTCTTCATTTGTGTGCAATTAATACAGATTAGGCGGATTTACATGACATAATTTATCATGAGAGCTTAAAACAAATGTTTTCTTTATAACCAGTTTTAAATAATTAACACACACCCAGCTAAACAGTATATTAACAGTGTATTCGCCACAAATAATAAAGCACTTCCTTCTCTTCACAAGCAATAATCTTTGTATTTGAGGAGTGTTGGATGGTGAATGTGTTTTGATTATTTGTAACGAAGTTCTATATTTATATTTCTTTTTACACAACATTTTAGAGATTGTTGTAATTTATTTGCATTAGGTTGTAAGATTGTTGTAATTTACTTGCAATATGTAACAGTCCTGAAGTGACCCCATCTATTGTGTATTAAAGCAACATAAGTTTGGGATAAAATGTTCTTGTTTACCATTGTGCACTGAAGCATGTTTAAAAGGTAAATATTCTCAACCAACATGGAGCAGGCCTTTCTGTTTGCAAAGAGGTAAAAAGGCGGAAAAGAAAGAGGATCTGAACCGGTTTCCATGTCAAACACTTCAATTCTCCATAGAAACTCTGATCTTAACGCAGAAACTTTATTAAACCTTGATGGTGGATTGATAAGGCCGAATTTCTATCGGTTCCTTTTTATTGTGGAGACGGGGAGGGATGACAGAGGTAAATTGCTCTTTTAATTAAACCAATGCACCGAAGGAAATTGCTGTCTGAATATTGTCTCAGAGATGGGGCTTGTGACAGTTGCCTGGAAACTTCAATCTGTCTCACATTTATTCCAGATCACAGTTTTGAGATAAAGTTTAATAAAAATCTTTGCGCCAATGAAAGCCTACCCTTTCACGTCCACCACCGCCACCACAATGCGACAGAACTGCGGAGGAAGCCTTATGTTTAACATGTATCTCTCAGGTACGCAGTCTTTTTTGTGCGTAAAATGAGAAATATTGCCGAAAAGAATAGGGAGACGCTAAGGGTCTGCGGGCGCGTGCTGCGCGCATCACCGACGGTGTCTCTGACTTCTCCATCTGGAACGCGTGTCCTCTTTTGTCGGAAATCGGATATCCTTTTTCCTGGACGCGTTTCCTGACCTCGACGCTGTAGTCTGGGCAAATACATCGAGCAGCAGCATGACAATACTCATAATATTTAACCTCTTTTACTGAGAATTGTTATTTATAAATGGGCGAAATTCTTTTTTTTTCTCAAAAATTACAGGGACAAAAACACATGTCTGACGCATATGCTGCATTTTTATTATTGTCACTTCCATGTGTATTTTAAAATTACCACAGAATATGGCATAATTAAATCTGAGTTATAATTGTCAGATGTTTTTTTAAAACGCTTTTTTCCAGACCCCACAGAAAATCTTCTGAAGGAAAGTAAAAGCCCCTCTTGGACCCCCATCAACACAGGCGTGCAAAAAGGTGAGTGTTGCGTTGACTTATTGATGAACAAATATCTAAAAGAAAAAAATATATTTTAATTATTTTTTATCTTTAAATAAAATGTTTATAAATGGGATTTCTGGGAAGTGCAGAGAAAATACCTTTTATTGTTGGAAAATATTTCAAGATAATCAAAGGTATTTCAACTTTAGTGAGTGCAGTATTTAAATAGGCTACTCAACAACTTTATTTACAAAGTACAAATAAAGGTTCAATGTTGAAAGCTCCGATACGGGACATTGGCTAATGTACGGGCTAACACTGGGGCAGATTCAAGAAACCGATGCACCGAGGAACATATGAAAAATGAAATAAGGTACTTTATATTGTATATGTATTTACAATATTTAGCCTATATTTAATATATATATATATATATATATATATATATATATATATATATATATATATATATATCCTTATTTACTCTTTTTTACATAGCCTACATAAAAAGGGTTCTAAAACAAAGCACTTGGCAGCAAAGACACGGGGAAAAGATTTTGAATTCTACATTTCAATCAACAGTTCCAAAAAAAGAATATTATATTCTTATAAGGAATATTTTAATAATCTAGGCTAAATTATTCTTTTACAATTTTTTTTTTCAAATGAATAGTTAGGCTATATGTTTTATTTTGTATTTTAGGAAGTGGACAAATCCAGTTATGGCAGTTTCTCCTGGAGCTGCTTTCCGACAGCGCCAATATGACCTGCATCGCCTGGGAGGGAACGAATGGAGAGTTTAAACTGATAGACCCGGACGAAGTGGCCAGACGGTGGGGGGAACGCAAGAGTAAACCGAACATGAACTACGACAAACTGAGCCGAGCTCTGCGCTATTACTACGACAAAAACATCATGACCAAGGTGCACGGAAAGCGCTACGCGTACAAATTTGACTTTAACGGTTTGGCGCAAGTGTGCCAGCCCTCCTCGACCGAACAAGCTATTTATAAGTTCCAGAGCAACTTCGCTCCCATTCAGTTTTCAGGTATTTCCAAACTCAATCTGGTTGCTCCGGGTGTTGGTCCGTCGGGCTTCTCCTACTGGCCGGGATCTCCTCCAACCCTCTACCACAGCCACAACCTGCAGCCGCCTGGACCCTTCGGTGCCGTGTCTGCGTCACATTTAAGCTGCGTTAACAATATAAATAGTTTAAATAACCTCAATAATATTAATAACCACTATAACTGACTTTCCCCCATCTGCCTCAGGAGCGCGCGCTGACAGACTAGCCTACACAAGAGTAATATGTAAAAGTTCAACTAGCTGATTTCAGAACACGTAGACTAATATAGTTCAGTGACAAGTAAGAATCAAAATAAATAGGGTTTAATTATTTTATCACATTGCCAAGAACAGTTTGGGCATAGCATTTGGTGGACTTCAGGATCAGAAAACATTTAGCGCCATCTTATGGATAAACAAACACTGTTGCGACAAATTAATCATATTCAGCTGAGGAACACAAACACGTTTTGCTTGATCTCCATACATTCATGGTAAAAAATACAGCTAGAAAATCAACGCAATGATGCAGGAACGGCTACATGGTGAGAACAAATTGTAAGCAAAAACGTGTGTTCGCTATGCTTGCAATCGAGAATATTATTCACATGTGAAGTAGACTAATTAAGCGTTTTATTTATTTATTTTTATTTTGCTATTTATTTAGACCAATATTAGTGAAATAATGGACACTGTCTGAACATCGGCAATACACTTAAAAAATTGTATATTCTGATCAATTGTAAAGAATAATTTTGTTTTTTTCGTGATTCACGAGAATCACCAGTCGGTGTTCTCTTTTGCTTGTGATAACATATTAAAATCGTTGTTGTAATATCCCTGATCTGTTTTATTTATTCGTTGAGTGTTTGTAACTAAAGTGACGGGCTAATTAATTTGGGTGATTATGAAATTATGAAATTGTTCTTCAAACTATGTAAACATGGACCTTTAAAGATTTTTTATTATTATAAAAATAGGTTGTTTAGGAAACCTTAAAATGTTCTCTGGCTAAATTACTAAATTGTACTATTTTAAACCGATGTCCTTATGTAATATATGATATTAAATATAGTCAGTAAATATAGCAAACACAATCGTGCAAAATACTAAATGGTAAAATATACAATTTTTTATTTTTATTTTTCTGAATAAATTAATTTACTCCTAAACAACCTTAAGTGCAAGCAATAAAAACTGTAAATGGCAAGATCCTTTATTTTTAAGAGTGCATATTCCATTGTGAAAATACACCATGGGTTTATTAGTAAAACTATACAAGATTTTTAGTAGATTGGTTTCATTTGAATTTAAACTTTGGTTTACCATGATTTACTTCATCACCCCATCGTGCCATTCAGATAATGGGATATAGTTCATTAAAAAAATCAAAATGTACTTACCATTATGCTCTCTCTGAAGTTGTATTAAGCCTTGTGTGTTTTTTATTTATTGCGATTACAAAAAAGAGAAGATAAGCAGAACAGTGTTCTTACCCAAGTAATATTAACTATTTATTATCACATAAGAAAAAAAGACGTTTTTAGTTTGGACGCAAGCTATTTAGAATAACAAAATAAATAGCCTCTTGACTATTATTTTGATGGTTAAATTTGCTAAGACAGAGGCTCAGTTTGTATAACAGGCAGCAGGTTTCCCTACGCATTGGTATTGGTATACTGGTATATTGGTGTTGGTTTAATGTATTGATTACACTTGACTAAATGTCCCCTAAAAAAAAAAAAAAAAAAAAAAAAAACTAAAACAGTACACTTGTTTCCAAACAAGTAATCAAATCAAAAACATTATAATCAACATTAAAGTCACATTAATAAAACAACAACACAAGTAAACTGTTCACAATATGCAATCAGTGCGCACGATGGCGCCATTTAGCTATAACTAAGTAAACAAACGAGAGAGGGAACAAGCACTGTAAGACATTCTTTTGATTTGATACATCAAAACACCAAGACAGAAAAAGAGATAACTCCCAAACTTTACTGAAGCATATAAAATTTTTATATTCAAAAGTCAGTGTAGGTTACAACTAATGTAGCAAAACTGTTTCCTGGTTTAATAGGCTGGTTGTTTTGATGTCATAGAAAAGGAATTCTCCAGCATTGCTGTGTATTGTGAGGAGACTGATAAATGTGATCTGCATGTCAATAGCAACTCTACTGTGATACACCATTTATATTTGTTTTACCCTAAACTTTAAAGAGTTTTTTGAACAAAGGGATTGTTTTCCTTCAGCCAAATATATATCTAGCCTACATGGGAAAAACGGACAGAAAAATCTAATTGTACAAAGACAAATGAAACTACATTTTTGTATCTAACATATAAGATACTGAGCTATACTCTGTTATAAACCTCGTATATGTTCTCCTAAAAACCATCAAAACAATGAAAAACAGATTTCTGTTGCCATCACTTATTGTCAACATCAGACATTTAACAGTAATCAGGATGTTTTTAATATTTCAAAACGTTAAAATGTTAGCAGACAAACTGAAGTTTCACCTGTGACATTTCATTTATTTGTTTGCTTAGTACACAAATACTTAGAATTATTATTTTTTTTTGTTAGATTGTTCAAAGCTTTTTTTAAGTTTTAGGTTTATGAAAATCTGGTAGATGCTAATGCAACCTGCAAAATCACTTCGAAAAATGTTAAATGTCCTCAGAATATTTTACAATCATGTATTTACAATATTCTAAAACTATAAAATGCACTACAAAACCTTAAAATGCACACATAGGTGGACTCCTTTAGACTCCTAAAGTGGTTCCTTTAGAGCAGGGGTGTCAAACTCAATTCCTGGAGGGCCGAAGCCCTGCACAGTTTAGTTCCAACCCTGCTCCAACACACTTACCTGTAGGTTTCAAACAAGCCTGAAGGACTCAATTAGTTTGATCAGGTGTGTTTAATTAGGGTTGGAACTAAACTGTGCAGAGCTGCGGCCCTTTTGGAACTAAGTTTGACACCTGTGCTTTAGAGTGACAACTGCCCCTGGGGGGATGAATGGGGCATAAATGGATTCCCTGATTGAAAGAGCCAAATTGCAGTTAAAGTCCACCATTTAATAATTTGGCAAATAATTTGACTACAGATGTCCATGTAAACACCATCACTTTCTCCCGTGTGTGTGTGTGTGTGTGTGTGTGTTTTGAAATAGACACTCCCACACCATCCCACTTTAGTTCCTCCGACACTCCCCCCTTAACAGCTGGACACGCCCACTTTTCTGACTTTTTCCTAAGTAGAGGTGTGAAAACACCCTGCTGAAACGAGGGGGTTTCATGGCCCTTTAATCTAATTAATCTGATGATGTTTACATAAAATGGGGACCCAACTTTGAAATCTTATAAAACATGCATTTAAACCTTACTTTGATATGAGATATCATTAAAAGCTGCTTTTAATATAATAAGCTCTTTTACATGAATAAAACAATTTTGTGTCAGTTTAATCTGACTGTACCCCTCAGACACATCTGTTTTAGGGAAAAGTGACATTAATTATGATAAAATAGCTAAACCAAACTGCAAAACTGTCATTATCTTTAATGTCTGGATTTTATTTTTACCTCTTTAAATACAAATAAAATGGCAATTTGAAATAAAAAAGAGAAAAATACACACTTATTTGATTAGCATATTCACAATTACGTGTTTACTGGGCTATTAAAAGGATTAAGTCTCATTATTGTTTTTCTTAAATACTGAAATAACAAGGAGACTTTTATTTATTTATGTATTTATTTTAACAGAAATGCTATTTGTTAGAGGTAATTTAGTGTAACAGGATGAAGAAATCAACATAAAATCTGTAAAAAATTACTTGTCATTTTACATTCCAAGAAATCAACAAAAGACGACTGCAGTGCTACAGCAAAGTTTACTATTTTTTTTTTTTTTACAAATTTAAAACAAAAATGTCATTCAGCGTAATGCCCCAAACACTTTGATTGGTAATTATGACCCTGGACGACAAACCATAAGCGTTCATAAATCTACATTTTGGACTTTCAGATTTACGCATTATCTAAAAACGGACTAAAAAAGTTTTCTGCTGATGCTTGGATAGTTAGGATCGGGCAATATTTGGCTGAGAATTTGGAATCTGAAGGGTAAAAAACAACAACATCCAAATACTGAGAAAATCATGTATAAATTGTCCAAAATAAGCATATTAGTAACCAACAATTGAGTTTTAATATATTTACAGAAAGAATCAAACAAATATTTGCATAGAACATGACTTTTTAATAAATACTCCAATTTGTTTAAGAATAAAAATAACAGCCAATTTGACCCATACAATGTATTTTTTCCTAATACCAAAAATGGGTCTGTGACGTCCCCAGGACTTCAGTATGGATGTGGCTGATCCTGATTGGGTGCCTGGTTGTCACTAATTGGCTCAAACCATATAAAAGTGTTTTGTGTGCTAGCTTCTGTGTGGCTACGGGCCGTCCTCGTGTTAAGATCATCTCTTCATTTCTGCAACCTTATGGTTTTGTTTAGCATTATTTATTTGTGTAGTTAAAGTAGTTATTTTCTTTATTTTTCCCCTAGACATTTGTTTGTTTGTTGATTTGTTGTTCTATTTAGTTTTATGTATAATAAATAAGTTGCATATACATTCTTTTGTTGTCCGAACTCTTTTATGTTGCGACTCAAACGAGGGGGTCGTAACAGGTCACAAAGAGAAAAGTAACAAAAAATGCAATTCACCTTGCTATTTTATACAGAATAAGTCCTGGCTTCTCAACAATACTTATCTGATACAAAACAAAACAAATATTCCTATCATGGTTTTCACTTTTCGTGTGACGTATCACGTTTAAACACCTTTGATCTGTTTCAGTAACCCCAAAAATAATTGCCACATCCAATTACTGTAAGAACAATAACAACAACTTTAACAATTACCTAAACAGAGTAACATTGTTGATTTGAAAGAAGTAGGAAAATGAAAACATAAACCTCAACAACAAAGAGCATAATCTATAGCCTATATATAAGGTCTATCCTCCGCAGGTCTCCTGGGAACAGGAGCTAAATCACTCTTATAATAAGCTCTCCTGAGCCGCAGGGTGTCATTGAGTAGGTGCATGTACAAGAGTTAATCTGCACATTATCTGTGCTAAGTCCACCACAGCAGCTTTTGCATAACACACAGTTGGAAAACATTTTCTACCTCTTCTGCCATAAACACTCATACTGTGGATCATGAAGCACATTCAAATACTCGTACTTTATTCTTCACTTATTAATCAATGGCCTTCAGTGGCTGCTGTCAATCTAATGTTCATCGTTTTACAATAAAATATGGATACAGTGTTTGGTTGAAAAAAAAAAAGAGAAAAGTTAAAATATGAGCTGAAAACATTGCAAGTTGAAGTTAAAATTATTAGCCCTCCTGTGATTTTTAAAGAAATATTTCCCCTAATTGTTTTACAGAGCAAGGATCTTTTTTTCACAGTGTTTTCTATAATATTTTATTTTCTTCTGAAGAAAGTATTTATTTATTTTTACAAGATTAAAAGCAGTTTTCAATTTTTAAAAACCATATAAGCTCAATATTATTAGCCCCCTTAAGCAATATTTATTATTTATTTATTACATGTATTGCCTAATTGCCCTAACATGCCTGGTTATATTAATTCCCCTAGTTAAGCCTTTGCACTTTAAGCTCAATACTACTATCTTGAAAAATATCGAGTAAAATATTGTCATCATGGCAAAGACAAAATAAATAATTTATTAGAAATAAGTTATTGAAACTATTATGTTTAGAAATGTGTTGAACAAATCTTCTCTGTTAAAC